GTTTTTTTTTTTTTTTTTGCTTTTTGTTTTTAAACAGATGGGAGTACTACTCAGCCATAAAGAATGAGAAACTAGAGACATTTTAGCTAAAGGGATGCACATCGACGACATACTCTTAAGTAAAATAAATAGGACACACATGTGTAAATACCAAATCGTTTCTCTGGTGTGAGAAACTGGAAATGTGAATATGGATCAAAATGAGTAACAGATAATGTTAAATAAGAAGAAAAGGTCTAAAGGGGTAAGGGAAGTGTGAGGGGCAGGGGAAAGGAAAGAAGGGAAAGGAAAAAATGGAAACAAAGTCTTTGTAAATAGGGAGGGTTGGAGGGATTGAAGGGAGAGCTGCAGAATGGGGAAAAAATAAGAACCAAGATATATCACATAAAGGTACAAGTTCCCAATGATGAATGTAACTGTATGGTATTCCTAAAATGTACCAATAAGCTTAATGGAAAAAAAAGACAGGGTGTCTCCTTAAGTTGCCTAGCGGGGCCTGAAGGTTGTGATTCTCTTGCTTCAGCCTCCCAAGTATCCAGTCTCAGGATCCATCTTAAATTTGTACTTAGCCTACACCAACACTAAGCCTTTAAATTAATACCAAGTCTCTACTAATGCTAATTATTAAGGTAACTGAAAATTTAATCAAATGAGTTTTTCTTAGGTTATAAAATAGATATGAAAATAAATTACATAAAGACATACATATACATGTTTCAAAATAACCAATTATATAGTAGATTTAGATAGAGAAAAAAAGATATAGCACTTACGGTAAAAATGTTCTAAATTCTGAAGCATCAACATTTTCCACAGGTATAGGCTTATGATTTATTAAATTATTTGATGTCTGTCCAATAAAATGAAAATAGAAGGCAGGAACCCTTGCTAAAAGGACTGCTTTGTGTACTTTGAATAAAGTACCATCTATAGAGAAAGTAACATCTGTATGGATTTCTTCCCTTAAAAGCCTGTAAGGGATAAAAAGAAATCATAGTTTAATGAGTGATGGTAAGAAAAATATAGTAATTTTTATATAGTAAAACAAAGGTAATTGTCCTAAAAGAGTAAGGGCCATTTTTCAAATTGCTATTTATGTTGACTCCTATTAAGATGTATCTTCTTTAGACTTATTTTGGAATACAGAATACAAAGCAACACGGTTGCTATTAAAAAGAATCAATTTTTTAAAAATCTTATTTAAATTTAAGTAAAAAATAAACAGTAACATCAACAAACCACACAACTATAGACAATTCAGGTTAGAAACTGGTACACTTTGTTCTATTAATTACCAATAAGCTTGAATGTCAAGAATGTGACATTTAAGTCCTTTTCCATTCTCCCATATAGAATTGATCATGCTCTAATCTATTATTAAAGTGATGGACTCAGAAGAATAAACTCATTTAAATCCCTTTACTAGTATGCAGAAGTAGTTACAGTAAAGCCTACTGATTTCAGAATAGAAATCAACATTATAATGGAAACCTTTATAATGTAATTTTTCATCTATTTGCACTAACTATATATTTTTACTCTCTAAATACTAAGTAATACTTTGTATCAGTACAGCAATTTCATAAACACGGTATGTACTCTCAGAGGACTTCTGTATTGCAGGATATAATTGGCAATTACACCAGTATACTACAGGAGATGCAAATAATGAGTAAAGATATCCATTACAGTGAAATCATGGAAAGTTGCCGAAGATACTTACACTTCCCCGAGACGAAGTAAAAGGCTTTGTCTAATCCCATTACACCCACTACATTCCTCTGTTATGGCATTCAACATACAACAAGAGTGCAAAATCTGTTTCTTGAATGGCTGTACCCCCAAAAAAGCAAATGCTTCAGAACACAAATACTTTCATAATCTCAAAATTTTAACTGAAAATTCAAATTGAGCCCGGCAAGGTGGTACGTGCCTGTAATCCCAGCACTCTGAGAGGCTGACACTTAGCAAGGCCCTGTCTCAAAATTGTGGGGTGGGGGATCTCCCTGGCATACATCATCCCTCCGGGGGATCCATCCCTAGACCCACCAAAAAACAAAACAAAAAATTACCTGTCGGTTGTGTAGAGGAGGAATGTGAGGAAAATGAGAATGGAATTAAAATATATTTAGGTAATAAAACTAGCAAGACGTGGTGATGAGATGCAGGTGAAGGGAAGGGAATAAACGTTGATTTGGATAACTGGGTACTGGGATTCCTTTCTGCTAATCCAACTGCCTCTTTCAACTCCACACATACATCTAAGTAGAGAAGGCAGACTGCTTGGGTTTATATTCTGGCGCATATTCTGACCACATGACCTTGGGCAAATCATTTTAATGGCTTTAGAGCCACGCTGCTGTGATTCTTAGTCTGATTTCATCGCTCAGTGCCTAATGCTCACCCAATGTTTCTCTAATTTCGACTGCTAAGTGGGAATAACACGACTGAGGTTAATAGGATTCATGGGAGAAATAAATAAAACATTACACGTTAGCCCAATAACTAGTAAACAGGAGAGCAGTACATACTAGCTTTAAAAAAAAAAAACTGCCCGGTCAATGAGGACTTATATAGTTATTGTCATATCCCAAGTAACCTAGTTCTACATCAGATATGGCTTTGTAACTGCCAAAGCTGTTTCCTGTTTTTTCTTACTTTTCCACATATATCATTACTTCGGGTAACTTGTTTTTCTAAAAAAATCAAGTTCTTGCAAATCTTTGACTCTATGTAAAAGACAATCTGGGGATGCTGATCAAAGAGCACTTGACTACCACGGATGAGAACCTGGATTTAACAGAGAGAGGGGTAATTAAGTTTTTTGGTGTTTAAAAATACTGTTACACCTATTTTTCCTTGCTTATAATAGCAAATTTGGAGTTTAGGGCCCTATTCTCAATTGCTACTGGGAGGATAATTGTTCATTAGCTATATTTTCAAACTTATTTCTTTATATAAAGTTACCTTTCTTAAATTCAGGAACTCTTTTAAGATTCCCAAAACAGTGTCAGAAGAATAAAGTCACTGAATGGGGGGGGTCTCGTCTTTAGAATTCACCCTAGGGACAGAACACTTTCAATCTCGTTTTTTTCCACCTTTTACATCAGTCCCCAGCTGGTGGAAACAGTAGCATTCCCAGTATAAAAGTCTAAATTAAAGGGAAATTGTTTTATTTTGATCAAATTCCATTTATTGCCATGGGATTTCAGGCAAAAAATCACTTTTCAAACGTGGAATACTGCAAAACTTCTATTATTAATGTTTACTGTAGTCCAGTTGTCCTCGAAGTGTGTTCCTGGCCAACAGCATCAGCATCTGGTCACCTGGGACACTGCGATGGTAGAAACTCAAAATCTTGGGCCCCATCTCAAACCAAGTACTGTAAGAAGTATGAGCTGGGGACCCAATAAACTGGTGTTTTGACAAACCCTAAAGGTGGTGATTCCGATGTAAACTAAAAGATTAAGGTTCTGACTCCAGTGGGTTGGTGCCTGCAGAAGCTGGGAGTTGCTGGCAGCTATGCAGAATTGATGTGTAGAGGAGAAACCAAGTTGCAATCAGAAAGTATTTCTGTATATTTATTGCTGGTAAATTGTTTAAAGAGAGGTTCAAGGAACCAGTAATTTGTTTCCTCTGTCCTCCAATGCTCGATTTCCTAATTTTATTTATTTATTTAGGTTTACTTATTTTGGTACTGGAGATCCAACTCAGGACCCTGCGCACTTGCAAGGCAGGCGGAGGCACCACTGAGCTAAATCCCCAGCCCCTAATTTAATTTTCTTAAAATTAAAATAAAAAGTGCGCGTTTAAGGATCATGATCTACCCTGTCTTTAGCGATTTGTCTTTAACAGAGCCCTCCCGTGTGAGGATATTTTAACATCATCCGGCGCTGTACAATGACTGCGATTTTATTTTGTTTTTCCTTTGACTCCGGTACACGGTGTCCAAAATGCTCGAGACCGGTTTCTTTGGGGCAGCGAAGCTACTTTCGAAGGAGAAAGGAGACTGGTGAACGTCCCGAAGTTTCTTGAGGGGAGCAAGGTAGGGAGGGATGGGGGAGAGAGCAGAGGAAGCCAGGGCTTCGCGGTGGGGCGGGGAAGCTCTCGGGGAACCCCAGCAGCCAGTTCCAGCCTCCTCCTACCTGAGCAGATCCTGGCTGAGCTGCTCCGACACCATCGCCTTCAGCCGGCGCCGCTCACCGGGCCCCTTCCTTTGCAACCCCTTACTGCACACTCCTGGGGACCCCAGAAGTACCAGGGGGGCTGCGCTGCCCTCCTCACGGCCCGCCATATCCCACAGAAGTGCCTCGGTGCAAGGGAGGCCCAGCAATTGGCCTCACTAGCCCGGCCCAGACGGAAGAAGGGGGCGTTTCCCGCGGAAGGCTGGGCTCCCTTCCAAATTTGTGCACAGCGGAGAAAAGTTAACGCCCTTTCTGCGCACCGCGCCGGCCCTCGGGGTAATCTCCAGGCCCAGGAAGACGCCAGCACGTGACCCGGGAGGGTGTGCGCAGGCGCATTCGCTCTGTTTACCCCGGCCGGAGGGCGCTCGACCTGTTTACCCCGGAAGGCGGCAGTTAAGAGGTTGATTGGTCCCAATCCTAGCGGCTCTTTGCTTTCCGGGTGGTGTTAACCGCTCGTTTCATAAACTTTCATGAAGGACTGACTTCAAAATCTCTCTTTATATGCTGTGCCTTCCTAGCGTCTGCGATGTTTTTCCAGGAAAGACAGTTTCCCAAGGCCTACAGCGGCAAGTCACGCCCTGACTTATCGGCGTCTCAGTCCTAAGGAATAAATACGTTGGGCAAGAAAATATGGAGGTAGCGGAAGAAACCCGTAAACGCTGCCAGACTCAAAACAATCCCAAGTCTGATAACAAAGAGTATTTACAACGTCTGGAAGACCCCAGCTCCTTCTTAGAAAAGGAGTGAGTCATCTAAGTGCTCTTGAGTTTAAACTGAGAAAGGCCAAATTATATTTCAACGCTTTGGATGTAAAAGCTCTAAAATATATGTCTGAAAAAAATAGAAGGAATTAAAGGCTTTAGGAAGCGCATACGCTTTCCTTGAGCCTGGGAAGGGGATGAAGGAACTACAAAACATTTAAATTATTTTTCCCCTGTAAAGTAGCTGGAACGAATATCATTTCAGTCTTTCTGTTCAGTATTTGATAATTTCCTTCTCCCAAAAGAAAACTCAATAGTTCACTTCATTCATAAGCTGTGCACAAAGCAATGATAACTATGTAGGAAATAAATGGACTTTGTAACATAAAATTGGCTAGGAGGTATTTCTCCAACTGCCGCCTTTCAAGTGCTCTATTTACAGACCTAGCATTTGAATGCTTACTGTGTGGTGAGCACTGCTCTTCTTGCTCTGTGTGTATTAACTCAATCCTCGCATGAGCCCGGTGCCCTGATTTACAGACGAGGAAACTGTAACATAGAGTAGATAACTTGGTCAAGATCACACAACTGGAAAGTGGCTGTCAGGCATTAAACCCTTTCCCTGACACATTTACCACACTTACATAAAACTGTGACCGTGTAAACTGTTGCAACTATGATGGAAAACGGTATGGAGGTTCTTCAAAAGTTTTAAAATCTTACTTACCCGAAGGAAATGAAGTCAGCCCCTCACAGAGATAGCTACCCTATGTTCATTGCGGCTTTAGTCACAGTTGCCAAAATTTGGAAACAACTTATGTGTCTGTGGACAGATAAAGTCTAATACATAGTGTGTAGAATGGTGGCCGAGGGTGGAGATGGGGAGAAGTGGGTCAAAGGATACAGAATTAAGTAGACCGGATAGATTAATGTACTGTATGAAGACTGCAATTAATAATATTGCACTATGTAATAGCAATTTGCCAAGAAAGTAAATTTTAGGTGCTCCTACCCCATTAAAAAAAACAAACTGAGATGATACATGTGTATGTACCAACTCTCCATGATGAATGTATTCATTATGTACCACGAACATACACTAATAAAAATTAAAAGAAAGCTACATAGAATGAATGATGGTGTTATGGTTTAGAACTGGGATGTCTGCTAGAAACTTTCTGTGTTTGGAAGGTGGTTGGGTGATGGAGGCACTACACCCATCAGTGAATTAATCTAATGAATCCAAGGCTAAACTGCTTTTAGGAGGTGGGATCTGGTCAGAAGTGGCAGATCGCTTTCTCCCCTCCCCCTCTGCAGGCCGTGAGGTAACTAGATTTCCACTGTCAGGAAATCTATGGGTTTCTGCCTTGGAACCAGCCAACTATGAACTATAATTGTGAGCCAGAATAAACCTGTCCTTGTCTAAGTTGTTGGTGTCTGGTATTGTGTCTATGCAACGGGAAAGTGACTAAAATTGATGGATATTTTAATTGTCCTGACTAAAGTGACCATCTCACTACGTATATCAAATATCATGTGTACATCTTAAATATCTACAATGAAATAAACCAGGCATTCTAGCACTAGGATCTATTACTTCAAAAGCTTGCTGGATTTTTACTAAGCCTATTGATCAGTGAAGTAAAAACTAGGTTATTCTTTTGTTTGGGAATGGGTGATGATGATTTTTTGGTCATGTAATTTAACTTTTTAAAAACTACCTTAGCTTAGACAGCTATGTGAAATGATTAAAAAATAAGAATCTCTTTAAAAAACAAAACACACAGGAGCTGGGGGTGTACCTTGTGGTAGTGCTTAGCATGTGTGCCTCCCCCCTCCCAAGATCCTACCAGTGTCACTTCACTTCTACCTTTAGAGTTTTTTTTTAACTGAAAGCATCATTTAAATTTTAATCAGTTTATTCTGCACTCATTTATACCTTAATGTGAATTTGTTTCTTAAAAGGCATTTTGATCAGGAGGAAGAATCCTGAGGAACTAGCAATAAAAGAGTTCTAAAGGGAAACATAGCTAAACCTGTAATTTTCTTTGAGGCTATTCTTAACTGTGATTCTTATGTGTGAAAAATAAATTCAGGTAAAATCACCTTAGAAGGCAGGAAACTTCTTCCAAGGACTCCAAGTCTTGAAAACAAAACCACATTTTTAAACCACATGCCCAGCTCTTTTTATTTTTACTTTAAGCTGGATTTACCAAGTTACCCAGGCAGATGTTCAGCTCTCTGGCCTTAGCTTCTCAGAGTGATGGGATTACAGTTATGTGCCATTATGCTTAGTTTTCCTTTTAAATAAAAGTGTTTTGAATATGCAAAGGAGTTGTTAGCCTTCCTATCTCTGTGACACACAGCTTAAAGGAGAAAAGTTTTGGTTTGACTCCTGGTCTCAGGGAATTCAGTCCATGGTCAGCTGGCTCTAAGGCAGAAACATCCTAGAGAAAGCAGTATTAAGTCCCCCTGTCTGTGGTATTTGTTATACTGAAATGACAAAGACAGAAGGATAACCTGACATTATGTGCCTCCAGAAACAAAGTGGAATTAAGGTTGTAATGGAATTAAGCTTGCTAATCAAATAACTACAAAATCTTAATTACCTGTACAACCTCAATTCCTTTTTGCCACATAGCCTGACATAGTCACAGGTTCTGGGCTCAGGACAAGAGCTTCTTTGGGAAGCCATTTTCATTTTTGCATCTCATAGTTGTGGACCCTCGGAAATCCAAGATCATGATGCTAACAGATTTGATATCTGTTAAAGGGCTCACCCTCTTCTTCCAAGATGGTACCTCGTTGCTGTATCCTCAAACAGCTCCTCCTTTACCTCTTTATAAGTACAGTGATCTCATTCATGAAGGCTCTACACTTATGGTTTAATTACTTCCTAAAAATCTTGCCTCTTTAGCACTATCACTTGGGGAATTAAATTTCAGTATTTTTAAACTTCATTTCCAGCCAGAGGCTCTGGCACATGCCTGCAGTCCCAGATACTTGGATGGCTAATGCGGGAAGATCCTAAATGTGAACCCAGCCTGGGTGATTTAGTGAGACCCTGTCTCAAATTTTGAAAATAGAGAGTTGGTCTTGGTGGCACATGTGTATAATTCCAGCACTCCAGAAGCTGAAGCAGGAGGATCCACATTCAAGCACAGCCTGGACAACTCAGTGACTTAGCAAGAGCCTGGCTCAAAATAAAAAATGAAAAAGGGCTGAGGATGTAGCTAAGTGAAAGGTCATAGGTGCAACCCCCAGGACTGACACAAATGAACAAAAATCTGGGATGTGGAGGGGGAAGTACAATGACTAGACAAATTTTATTTCTTTTTCTTTTTGGTGCTGGGATCCAACTCACGACCTTGCGCTTCAGAGGCAGGTGGCAGCACCATTGAGCTAAATCCCTGGCCCCTACAAATTTTATGCCTTGATTTCAATGTTGGTTATGAGATTCTCTTGAAACAGGTTAGAATACATAATATAAATTATATTTTTAGTATATAGTCATCCCTCTATATTCAGATGTTCTGCCTCTTGGATTCAATCAGGGACAGGTCAAAAATATTCAAAAACAATTCAAGAGAATGCTGTTATCACCTAAACAATATGGTGGAACAGCTATCATATCATTTACATAGTATTTACATAGTATTTACATAGTATTAGCTATTGCAAGTAATCTGAAGATGATTTAAAGGCTGTGAAAGGTTATGCATAGGTCATAGGCAAATAGTATGCCATTATTTTTAGATTTGTAAAATTTAGTTCTTTTTAAAAAATTTGAGAGATGCAGATGAAAGCAACACTGAGATTCCACCTCACTCCAGAAAGAATGGCTTCTATCAAGAAATCAACCAATAACAAATGTTGGCGGGGTTGTGGGGAGAAAGGAACCCTTCTCCACTGTTGGTGGGAGTGCAGACTGGTGCAACCACTGTGGAAATCAATATGGGGACACCTCAAAGAGCTGGGACTAGAGGTTCCATTTGACCCAGCCATCCCTCTGCTGGGTATCTTTTAAAAGAATTAAAAGAATCATACCAGAGAGATATACGTGCACCCATGTTTATAGCGTCACAGTTTGTAATAGCTAAAACTTGGAAACATCCCATTTGCCCATCAGTTGGAGACTGGATAAAGAGGATGTGGTTTTTCTATAAAAATGGAATATTACTCAGCCATAAAGAATGATAAATTAGAGTCATTCATAGGAAAATAGCTGCATATTGAGGTCAGACTCTTAAGTGAAATAAAGAAGTAACATATGTGTAAATACCAAATAGTTTCTATGGTGTAAAAAAAAACTATAATTGCACATAGATCCTAATGAGATAATTGACAATGTGAAATAGGAAGAAAAGGGCTAAAGGTGTAGGGGAAGTGGGAAGGGTAGGGAAAAGGAAATAAGGGAAAAGAAAAAATATGAGAAAATGAAAAAATGGAAATAAAGTATTTGTAAATAGGTAAGGGAGGAGGGGGTGAAGGGAGGGCAGGGTAAGGGGAAAAAATGAGAACCAAGACTTGTCATGTAAAGGTACAAGATCCCAATGATGAATGTAACTGTATGATATACCTAAAATGTATCAATAAACTC